ACCAATCATGTGACAATGTCCAACAACAAAAGGTGTAGTTTCATGAGGGAACTACAAATCTTTGGATGAAAATTCTTCTCAAATGGCAAATCACAAGTTTTCATAGGATGTTGCCAAGGCAGTGAAAGTGGAATCAAAGCACTATGATTGTACTGTGTGACAGGACTACTAATTGAGAATGTATTCCTGGAATAATTAAATATACCCTGATACCCTGAAGTACATGATCTAGTTATGACCTCATCAGGTGGGCTGATTTGCCTGTTGTATGCCACTTGCTCTCCACTTTCAACATGGATCCCATTATACAATGCACAGAGATTTCCAGCTGGGCTCTCTGCCATAAGAGGAGAGCACGCAGCATATGCTACCACCATGTCAACACAGAAGATGCTTTCCCTCATGGGATGGGGGTCAAGGTAAGGCAGGTGATGTGAGCATTGAGCAACAGGTTCTCCACACACCCCATTGGGACCCCATGGATTCACCACGACAGGTGGCAAATCCATAGGGCTTTGTGATGAGATCCTTACAGTCAATGTTTCATAGGAGATATAAGCTCCTTCTGCGAAAATGTTTTTGATTAATTATACCTTTATTCCAATTAGTACATGTTACCTTTATTTTCATGGGAAGGATAAGATAAAATTGATAGCAAAAGGGCAGAAACTAAAGAATTGTTGAATTGTGACTTCAGACCTGAGACACTGAATGACTGATATGGCATTGCTGCATTTCAAACATTTTAAAAACAAATGTAGAGGCAAAATTCCTGGTCTATGCAGCATAAGATAGCTAGGATGCTATGGGGGATGCCCAGAACTCCTATAATTTAAATAGGCATACAGTCAAAGGACTTTTGGAGTAGGATCTTGTCAAAAAGGCTAAGCAAAACTATCTTTCTCTTACATAGCTATTCAAAGTACAGGAAGCACGTCTTCCTTTGCTATTGCTATTGCATTTGGCAGCTTTTAAAGCATTTAACGCCTACTTCCCATACTTATAAAACAGAACATTGTGTACAGAAGTAGAGAATGGATCCTCCTTTTTTCTCAAATGTGACAAATATTAGGACATACTATAAGAAAAACAATAAGCATTCAGACTCACCGGGACTCAGATCTGATTGTTTGTCTCTTATTCTTTCTTGATCAAGGTGGATTATGTACATTGATGCCAATCAGTATTCCCACTTCCATTCCTCCTCATACTAGTCATAATGGCCATATATTACATCCTGTATCTGAGCCAATATGCCTCAGTTGTCAGTTGTTAGGAAACAAGAGCAAGAGTGCATTATTGGGCCTGTATCCCCCTTGTTGTCGTTTATTCATTCAGTAGTTTCTGACTCTTTGTGATCTCATGGACTAGTCCACGCCAGAGCTCCCTGTCAGCTGTAGCAATATCTATATCCTCCATACAGGTTTCAAACAAAGATTGAGTTGGCATAACTTACAAATTGGGACAACTATCCTGATTTGATAGGGACAGCGCAAATTAACCGAATGTTGAGTGGTTGTAATTTTTTCGGGCTGTATGGCCATGTTCCAGAAGCATTCTCTCCTGACGTTTCATCTGCATCTATGGCAGGCATCCTCAGAGGTTGTGAGGTCTGTTGGAAACTAGGAAAATTGGGTTTATATATCTATGGAATGTCCAGGGAGTGAGAAAGAACTCTTGTCTGTTTGAGGCAAGTGTGAATGCTGCAATTTGCCACCTTGATTAACATTTAATAGCCTTGCAGCTTGGTAGTGCTGAATTTATAAGTTCCAACATAAAGGCTTCTAATTCTAATGGTACTTTAATTTTTAAAAAAGTTTTCAATGTTCTTATCAATTATAATCCACTTTCTTTTACTTTAGGACATGTCCACCACATATGCTAAAAAGTTCCTTCTAATGAAATTTCCAACAAACATTAAAAAAATTGGTTCCATCTTTCCGGCCTCATCTGTCATCTATACATCATAATGTAGAATTTTTTCTCTTAGTCCACTTTTGTCATTTTGACCACACTCTGATGCTGCTTGGTCATATCAATCATGTATGTGAACAGGGAGTCCTCAAGCATAGTGGAGTAAACTGACATCCTAGCATTGAAGTTTCCAGGATCTGGTTAGTGTTGTGTTGGCAAGTTTGGCCCGTGGAAGGGACGTGGGTGGGGGGAATAGATCAATTCCAAAATGTATGTGTGTAAATGTGTGCCTCTTATTTCTGAAACTGCCTAGAAAGCCCAAAACTGTCACATCTATTTTCAGAACAGGGAAATGTTGTACAGTGAAGGGGGTTTCTGGAAACGAAGCTGGAGAAAATTGGTGTACCAGTGCCTGATATTTTCAGGGAGATTTAAAATCCTTGCATATCATTATCATAAAGGGTCCCATGAAATATATACTGCAGATTAAAATGGTTCAAAGAAATGTGGCTAGATAGCAGCCATGGAAGACCAAAAACTATTTTATGGAGACTAGAATTAATTATCAGAGAAGGAAAACAAACAAACAAACAGAATCCACAAAACTATCATCATCTATTAATTCTTCAACCTCTTTCCAAAAACTAGGATTTGAGATATATGATAAAAATTGAAAGTAGAGTTAAAAGTACATAAAAAGACATGTATAGTAGTATACCAACAGTTATTGTTAAAACTATATAAAACTATATAAAGATGGAAAATGTTTTAAAACACTTTTTTGACATAGATCAATAAAACCTTTAAAAATCTTTACAGTTCATTTCTAAATGACCGTTAGAATAGAAAAGTTTTCATTTGCTAAAGGGGGGATAACAAAGCAGGAACCTTCATAGGTCAAAGTTATTTACAAGGGAGGAAAATAAATGGAACATAAAAAGCATAGGAACAACAACATAGATTTATTTAAATATATTTAGAGCAGGAAGCAAGTCAGAGAGGTGGCACGACTTCAGTAACACAGATGTGTGAAATAAATGTCAGTAGTTGAGAGGGAGCTAGTAGGGAAGTTGAAGAATGTTTTCCGTTCATTTTCAGTGTGTGAGAGACTCATAACCAAACGATTGTATTTCGAAATGGCATCTTAGGAATTTTTCTCAAACAGGCCCAACAATAGCTGAAGCTTTAGAAGTAACTGACATGAATATACAGCTTTAGAGCAAACAGGCAAATGAGGACAGATGGCATTCACCCAAGACTTCTTAAAGGACATCAGTGCGAAAAATATGCAGTTTATCGTTAACCTCCCTCGTTAGCAGAGGTATATCAATTTCTTAGATGGGGACTTGGAGAAATTATGGCCTTGTATAGCTCATGAAAACATTTATTTGCTGAGGTTTATTGATCTGAATTTGTGGTGACCAAGGGATTTTGGAGATGTACTTCAAACCTAGCTGAAAATAAAACTTCAGTGTGCACAAAAACAATGATAAAGAAAAACGAGTGTTTAGAGAACCTATCAGAGCACATTTATATTAAAAAAAAACCTATTTCACAGAAGACTAGAGTTTAGAGTTTCGTTTCCACGAAAATGCTGATGCAACTCAACCCTATCCTTGCTTTCCATCTTAAACCAAGCAAGCTAGTCTAAATTAGTGTCCAAAATTTTTAATGCTGGTGAACTAAATTTTCCATCTTGACTTGCTTCAAAATTTGTTATTTCAGTGCTATGGGAATTTTGGATTTGTAATTTTGTGAAGCATCAGCATTGTTGGTTTGGTTGGTTGCATGCTGCATTCCAACGCCTTAAATCAGGAAACAGCTTCCTAAGATCGAGAGAGATACTTTCAGGAACATCTCAGCAAGCAAGAATCCAAAAGTGGCATGTCAAAACCCGGAACCTTAATCAGTGGATGATACCGAATGAGAGACTCCCTCCTAGACACACAGAAGACTGGGAGACATGGAAGGTGCTGAACAGACTGCACCATGGCACCATGAGATGCAGAGCTAACCTTAAGAAACTGGGCTACAAAGTGGAGACCACGACATGCGAGTGTGGAGAAGAGCGAACCACAGGCACTCCAAGTGGCCAGCTTCTGGTCAAAGGACATTTAGCATAATGCCAAGTTTTTACACATTGTGTTTTCAAATACAAGTTAAGTGTACCCCCAATTCACTTCTGACATGAGAAATAAAAAGCATTGTTTGTCAGAGAAGGCTAAATACTATACAATTTCTGTAATTCCGTAGCATTGAGTTCAAGGTGTATAAATTCTCATGTGGGTTTTAAAAGATCTTACAATCTGTGTTATTGACAGATAGGGTTGTGTAGAAGAGGACAACTTAGCAAGTGTTACAGGTGATATACACACAAGCCTGTTGAAATTCCCCCTTCTTTTCAACTTTAAGTCCTATCTCTTGTTTTACCTGTTCAGTTTTATTAGTTTTAATATTAACAAAAACTTATCACAGTTTGTCAAATGAATTAGTAGCATTGCATGTTTTTTGTGTGCTTAAAACATTGTAAAATAAAATCAAGCAATGTAAAAAAAAAAGCTACACAATAGAAAAGGAAAATACAGAAAAAGTAAAATAGCAGTCAATGAGTCAACTAGTCTATTTTTAATGGGACAATTGGGTATATGTCTATATTTGGAATGAAAGCCAATGCAGTGCTGTGCTTGAGTGTTGGACTAGGACACTGAGAGACCAGGGTTTGAATGGCCATTCTGTTCTAGAAATCTGTTGTGTGGCCTTGGGCAACTTGCACTTTCCCAGCCTCAAAGAAGGTGATGACAAACCCCCTCTGAACAAATCTTGCCAAGAAAACTTTGTGATAGGATCACAACTTGAAAATGACTGCAACAATAACTATGAGAATTACAAAATAACAAATTGCACAAAATAATAATAGTAGGACAACAGTGTTACTGCGTCTGACTTAGCATCATAAAGTAATGATAGAACCTTGGCTTCAAAATTAGTGTCATTTCAGTTTTGCTTATACACAGGGAAAGAGAGATTATATCATTATTTGCAGCATAACACAATTAAAAATTGCTTGTTCTCTGTTTATTGTTTAGACACAAATGCCTTCTGGATCCTATGCAAAACATCTAAAGCATATTTGGTACAAAGGAGATGAATTAATGTAAGTACTAATGCTGCACTATTGATTCTTATACTTAGGACCTCATCCCATGCAAGTCGTTGGGTCCCCCCCACCCCTGGTTTTCTCTCTGTTTTCACATGATGGCAAAATGGAGTCCCATGGCCACTTCCAGTGGCTATCGTGGGAATCTGTCTTGCTAGTGTATGAAGATGGAGAGAAGACTCCATTTTTAGGTATATACCTGACTCCTGGTTGAAGAAAGCAAGGGGGGAGGGCAGGCATGTAGCCGGGGGGGGGGGGGAACTTGAGGGGCTTCAGCCCCCCCCCCCCGAAATTCTCATGGTGGTTCGCAAAAAGGCCTTACTGGTACATTATTTAAACTGTTATGTTTATTCATATCATGATCTGATCACGATGCTCAATATATCCCATATGCATGGGGGTATTGGGGTAACAATACAAAAGTTTGCTAGGGTAGACCCTCTTTCACTCAGACTCAGCCCCCCCCCCCCCCGAATCGAAATCCTGGCTACAGGCCTGGGAGGGAAAACTGGAAGAAGCAAGGGAAAGGATGTGAGATGACTGGCCATCCTCCTCAGAGATAGACCTCTCTGAGGTAAGATGAGTCCCCACTCTTCCGAACACTTTCCCCCACTTCCTTCCCATCCATTAGATAATGTCCTAAATGTATATTTATTCAATGGATGATGTACTTTAGGTCAGATAGGAAAAGCAGATTCCTGGCGTGATGTGAATTGCTAGGCAATGGAAATGTCAACCAGATGTCTTCAGTTTAGAGTCCTGATGTTATTGTTTCAGTACCAACTATTGCTCCCTGATTTCTAGGACCTCTTCACATGGAGCTAAAACAGGGGCTTTTGGAAGGGCCAGGACAGTGACTGCCAAGCATTACCAGAATGCCAAGTGTCATCCCCATATGATGGAGGAAAGGGCAGCGAGGCAATGTACATTGCCATGTGTTGCTGCCCTTTCTCCCATCTGATGGTGACAGGGTGCCAACTCACCTTGTCCCATCCCAACTGTATGATGGGGAAAGGAGGGAGGGTACGCGGGGCACCACAAACCACCCTGCAATTGCCAACGAAATGGCAAGGCCCAGAAGGGTCATTTCAAGAGGTCCCTAGTCTAAATATTTTACAGTGGCTGTGTGAAATTAGAATGCAATGACATAGGGAGTTGACTTATATTGAGTCAGACCACTGGCCCATCAAGTACACAGACTGGGTTTTAGACATGAATCTTTCCTAGCCTTAGTTGAAAATGCCCAAAATAATATCCGGTGCCTTCTGTTTGCAATTATGAGCCTTGTTGGCGAAATACAGAGTGTGTAGAAGAACAGAAGTTTTCCAGAATATCTTTTTCTGTCATGAGATGTCAACCAATCAACCTATCTTTTCTTGCTAGGCCAGATGGTAAAAGTTGTACAGGTTTGACCAATATATTTATTGATTCCTTTCTTTGGTGACCAGCTGGTGAAAAGTGTTCAGGCTTGACCGATATGTCACCCACTTGGTTGGCTGGCATTAGGGGAAGGTACATTGCTAGGGAAGAAAATAAGCTGAGGAAAACAGTGGTAGTGGTAGTGGTTGGTTTTTGTTGCTATTAAGGAAGACCTATGCTGTCACCACAGTTCAAGCTTCTGTAACTCCTATGAATTATTGGTATTGCCCAGTGGGTGAGGAAGCTCTGAAGATTATATTGTACTTGCTAAATCAGTCCACAAAGAACGAGTAGAGAGCACTAAAGCACAGAGAAACTATTTCTGTTAGGGATGAGAATTTGGAACTTGAATTAGGGCTTTGAGGTTGCTAACAGTGACTGTTGAGCAGCATGATTTTGGCAAGCATTTTACACACACACACACACACACACATGTAATTCTGTTTGCATTATTTGTTAATATAACAAATAGAATATGGAATTCCCTCCCCAATGAAATTAGATCAACACCCTCCTTTCTGGCCTTAAAAAAAAGTAAAAACTTGGCTATGGGACCAAGCCTTTGGGCAGTAAGCAATACAAGGAATGATCAGGGATTATGTGTAATTGATATTTGACATTTGGAACGGCTTTGGACCATGATTTCTGGATTATGTGATTTTAACATTTATATTAATACGTTTTTAACTCCACATTTTAATTGTCTAAATGTTGTTACGTTGTTATGAGCTAATTGATAGTTATATGTTATTGTTGCTAAATGTTGTGTTTTATATGTTTGTAAGGCATTACATTTTGCCATAAATACGTTGGAAATCACTTTGAGTCCCCTCCCCCCTGGGGTGAGAAAATTGGTCTACAAATGAAATTAATCAATCAATCAATTAATTAATAAGTGGCCCAACTGTACTCAAGGAAGTAGCACACAGACACAGCTAATCATGGAACATGCAACTGTATTTGGAATCTTCTGAGTATCCAGAATCTGAGACTGTGAGTATTCATGCCTCCACATGGAGATTTGCTCCTTAATGAGAGACGAGCAGCCAATCTATATCATGCCTTTTTGTGAGGTTGCTGAAATGTGGAGCATTTCTTGCCTCCGAAGAGGGACTCAGACGGCTACCAACATGCACCATTCAGTGCCGAACAATAAACAAACGTAATATACACTTAGTAAAGGTAAAGGTAGTCCCCTGACATTAAGTCCAGTCATGCCTGACTCTGGGGTGTGGTGCTCATCTCCATTTCTAAGCCGAAGAGCCAGCGTTGTCCGTAGACACCTCCAAGGTCATGTGGCCAGCATGACTGCATGGAGCACCGTTATACCTACATTAAAAACATGTATACATATATTAAAACAGTTCACCATTTCACGTCATCTTCCAAATCAAGTCTATGCATCAACTAGTAAGGCTAAAATGTTTTTGGCCTCTCAGCTGCCACCAAAAAAGCTTTTCAGAACTATCTGCTTTTTTGTCCTGGCGGCTGGGAGCATTTTCTGCACCTCACTGCTTGCACCTCTTCCACGATTACTAAAAGCCATTCCAGTCAGCATCAACAGATGAGGTTATTACACTAACAGTTGCTTGAGCAGGAGAGAGGCTTCTAAAATAGAGGTCTTAGAGGCAGTTTTGAAAAATAGTTTTTGGATTATAACCATCCTTGCTTTTAGACATGGCAAGCAGCGAGAGAAGGACTCTAAGCATTGTTCCTGTTTATTTGAAGGAATAGGTGATGCAAGAGGAATTTGGCACAATGAAGAAAGAAGACACTCATGGCAATATGGATGATATACAGAATTTTCCTTTCCCCCATTACTTGGTGAGGTCAGACACAGCATCGCCTGTCAATGAAGAATTCAGAACTCCACATGTCCAGTGTGGATATGGTCCTCCTTCTCTAGAACAAGAGAACTTCCATGGGGCTTTAGAAGGGGGATCTCGTAAGCGCAAAAGCATGCCTACAAAAATGCCTTCTACTATCTTTCCAGAAGATCCCATGTCTCCATTGCCAAGATCGGAACACAATCCAGCCAGAGGATCTCCTCCTGGCTTTCCTTTACTATTCCAGCAACACCACCCACAGCCAAAGTACAATGCCCACATGATTGACTTGTGTAATATTGGTCTTCAATTCTACAGAACTTTGGAGCACTTTGGAGCCCAGCCTATAAAAGAAGAAGTTATTAAACCCAGTGTGCTTTGGCCTGGACCACCTCAATTTCTGCATACCCCCTATCCATACTATCCCAAAGTTCACCCAGCCCTAATGTTTCCTTTTATTATGCCCCCCAGTTTTCACTTTAGAAGTCCCTTCCCACTCCAAAGGCCGCCACAGTCACCCTTCCAGAGGGCTGACCTAGGAGAACATGCTGAAAATAAGCAAAAGGTAGAAAGGGTGGATGTGAACATCCAGATTGACGACAGCTATTATGTCGATGTAGGAGGAGAACAAAAACGCTGGCAGTGTCCGATGTGTGACAAGTCTTACACTTCCAAGTACAACTTGGTGACTCACATTTTGGGCCACAGTGGCATCAAGCCACATGCTTGCTCCAGGTGTGGCAAACTTTTCAAGCAGTTGAGTCACTTGCACACCCATATGTTGACCCACCAGGGCACCAGGCCTCACAAGTGCCAAGTGTGTCACAAGGCATTTACCCAAACAAGCCACCTGAAAAGACACATGATGCAGCACAGTGAGGTCAAACCTTACAGCTGTAGGATCTGTGGGAGGGGTTTTGCCTATCCCAGTGAACTGAAAGCCCATGAATCCAAGCATGAGAATGGTCGAGAGAACATTTGTATTGAGTGTGGCCTTGACTTCCCAACCTTGGCTCAGCTCAAGAGGCACCTAACCACTCACCGAGGGCCCATACAGTACAACTGCACTGAGTGTGATAAAACGTTCCAGTACCCAAGCCAGCTGCAGAACCACATGATGAAACACAAGGACATTCGTCCATACATCTGTTCTGAATGTGGCATGGAGTTTGTGCAGCCCCATCACCTCAAGCAGCATGCTTTGACTCATAAGGTAGGTCCACACCAGGATTTGCAAAATGATAGGATGAAGAAGAGCAAAATCCAAAATTCACAAATGAGCAAATTGGGCAACCAAATTGCAGAAAATACATCATATAAAGCTTGCATGATGTATTTTCTACATTATGATTGACCAATAACAATATCTCTCTTTTATGACTTTTTAATTTTGTTGTATTATGCTTCAACATGTCATTTGGGATGAAGCATGTTCATTTAAGCATTCATAAATTGAGATTGATAGGCACTGAATTGCAATCATTTATTTCTGAGATGGGAACTGTGTGCCATCCCCAGATATTGTGGAACAGCAACTTTAGCATTTCTTAACATTGGCTTTGCTACTAGGGTTACTGGAAGTTGATGGGACTTACCCTCAACTTGATGGGACTTAACTTTTGAATAGACACATAGAGTAGAGTTAGGCTGCCATTCTAATCACGGTCACTACGGTATCTACTTGGTTGGGAACAGTGGGCTTTTCAGAGTAAACATCTATAGGAATTTAGAGGCTTGTCTTGCCAGTATTGTGGCATCTTTTCAGACTTACAACCTCCTTTATCAGGAAAGTATATATTTAATTAAGCCAAGATATTCCTTGTTACACTTAATGGCATCTGGTAGCTTTCATGCCCTGAATCTGCTCAGAGTTTTTATTTGAGCTTCATAGAGCTGTCCCAGGTGCTGAAATTCACCCTCAAAGTAGGTTTGATACCACACCACACAATTATAGTACTATGGGTCCACTTTCAAAGCAGCCACAGTTACATTCTATGGAATCCTGGGATTTGTAGGTGAGACACTGGAGTTCTCTGGCTAAGAATTCCTAACAAACCTTCCTAAGCTGAAACCTACATGATTCCTTACAATGTTATCATGTCAGTTCAAGTGGAATCATAGTGCTATAATTCTGTATGATAAAAAAGACCCTGTAGCACATGTAGTGCTCAATTGACATAAAAGGTACCTAGTACCATTGGTTGTAAGTTTGCATGAGTTTTTGAGGTCTATGATAGAATTTGAACCATAGGTTTCAGGTTCTAGAACCCAATATTCCTTTTTTATTATTATTATTGTATTTATTTAATTTACATGCCATCTTCTGCCTGCAGCAAGACTCAAAATGTGTCCCATTGCATCTTTGACTTGAAACCATGGACAACCATGATCTGAAACTTTCCACAGTCACTCCCCATTATGCATACTGGGTGAGCAAAGTGGGAAATTTATTGAATAACATTCTGATGGGCATCATAAGGAGTAGAGAGGACAAGATACAACATCAGTCTTTCCAACTAGAATGGGGAATTATAAATGGATTATTTCTTTTGTGATAACTATACTTCATAGTTACCTTGCTATTATGTTTTCTAAGGGTGTAAAAGAGCACAAGTGTGGGATCTGTGGTCGGGAGTTCACACTACTTGCCAATATGAAAAGGCATGTTTTAATTCACACCAACATCAGAGCCTACCAGTGCCACCTGTGCTTCAAGAGCTTTGTCCAAAAACAGACTCTCAAAGCCCACATGATTGTCCACTCAGACGTCAAGCCCTTCAAATGTAAGGTGAGTAATCCTCAAAGATCCAGACAAGTGAAACAAATGACACCCAAGTAATTGTTCTGTAAGATGTTGAGGGAGAAAGCAGGATGAATGTACTTACAGAGCCCTGTTGAATGTGATCTTGGTGAGATGTGAGGCTAATAAAACATTGAGATGTTCCTATTTTGCCCTCCCTTGAGCCTTACCTCCTTATTCTAAACCAGAATTTTTTGAAACTAGATTCTTAGACTTTGTTTTTCTATTTCCTTCCAGTTTTGTTCTTCATCTTGAAACTGCATTTTCACAGTACTTAATGTAATTGCTAGTCTGCTGATGATAAATACATCTGACATTTGCATAGCACATTTCATCCCAAAGGGAGGTCAAGTATGCTTAACAATCTGATATACTGGCTAAACATTTGAATCAATCCATGCATGCTGCACATTGGATTGGTATAAAATACAAATGATGTCCATACCTTAGGGCAGGAAGTATATTACCAAAATTAGTTTGGGTGTCATGATATTTCAAGCAGGATCTGCCTGAAATTACACTCCAGTTTAACTCGAACATAACCTGCAATCAGTCTCTTAAATGCCTATATCGGTTTTTTTAATATACAGTAAGTAGCCAAAAACTTGTGGTAAACTAAATAATATCCTTCTGATAAAATAAAAAAACAATAAACATTTAAACATATCACAAATATTGCTGGCTCTCAGCCACTTTGTTAGTTGGCAGTTGCCTTTAAATAAGTCACCAGTTTTCATCTCCATTACTTAGAATATGCTTATTACATAAGAAAAGAAACCACTTCGCTAAAGTATGAAGTTTAGTGAGGATTTGTTTACAACTTTTCCTTTCCAAGGATAACAGGGCATGCATAGAGAAGGCTTCTCCAAATAATCTTAGAGATGTAGTGCTTCAAATATGCCCCAATGCTTGAGGTCTATTGACCTCCTCAGACGGGGCTTATTTTGGCAGCATACGCTGGTTCATCAATAGTTTAACTACAGAGTCCACCAGCTCCCATGCCATGATGTAATACTACTTCCTGCAAGGCTTTGTGACTAAACTATCACAAAACTGGCAACACAGAAGGCTTCCTATGTTGCACCAGCAACAATGGGGAGAAGCCAGATGGCCAACGCTTCTCCCTGTGAGATGGGATTATTGGTGAATTGGATGATGCGGGACACAGGACAATGGGTTCTCCATGCTCCCTGAAGGGCACTGATGGATTCACCACAATCCGGGGCAATTCCGGTGACCTGTATGATAAAGTTGCAAGTCTAAGACACATTTCTGCAATGTCAAATTATCCAAATTTATGGAGAGTGACTAAAACATCAATTAAAGCAATGCCTTTCAAGCTATCTGAATTGGCAAGCCATCATCCCCTATCCAGTGTACCAGAAGCTGATACCATGCCTTATAATCATCATATTCCTGGAAATGTGTTGTAGGCTAGAAGCTGAATGCTCACAGACTGGCGCTGGCCTGCAGATCACCACTTTCGAGTAACACTAAATTAGAATGAAAAATAAACATTAAAAGCACATGATCCATGCTTTTGGATCATGTTATTTTAATGTTTATATTAATATGTTTTAATCCCTTGTTTTAATGTTTTAATGTAGTTACGTTTTTATGATTTAATTGATCGTTTTATGTTACTGTTGTTTTATGTTAGTTTTTTGTGTTTTGTAAGGCATTGAATTTTGCCAAGAATATGTTCAAAATCACTTTGAGTCCCCACACCTCAGGGGTGAGAAAAGCAGTAAATAAATGAAGTAAATAAATAAAATAAAATAATTAAAAATAATATGTCAAGATTACTATGAGTGAATTTCACCTCTGTGAGTTCAATATACTCATGCATCCTTTTGACTGTTACAGTAGTTGGACTCCTCTACCTCCTCACACAATGGGAAAATTTAAATGTAAATCTCTAACAGAGGTGAACACAACATGTCTCTGTCCATTATATTATTGTTGTGAGGAGTAGAGGATCTTTGAGAATGATTATGGTATCTTTAGATCTTCAGAGGACCCTTGAGAGGTCCTCCTGGAGGATGCCTTTGCCATCATCTGCCTGATGTATCTTGTATGTCCTCTGCTCTTTATCAACAACCACTTAGTCATGTTGGAGGTGGGGAGAAGAAAGAGGTAGGAAGATATGATACAGTTCCAGATTCAGGAATTTTACACCATGTCTCTGTGATACAGAACTTCAGCCTCTAATTTTGTTCCCTGCATTGCAAGTTCTAAGTCAGGGGTCCTCAAACTAAGGCCCGGGGGCCGGATGCGGCCCTCCAAGGTCTTTTACCCGGCCCTCGCTCAGGGTCAACTTAAGTCTGAAATGACTTGAAAGCACACAACAACAACAACAACAACGATCCTACTCATCAGCCAAAAGCAGGCCCACACTTCCTATTGAAATACTAATAAGTTTATATTTGTTAAAATTGTTCTCCATGTTAATTATTGTATTGTTTTTAAGTAGTTTTGCACCACAAATAAGATATGTGCAGTGTGCATAGGAATTAATTCTTTTTTTTCTTCAAATTATAATCCGGCCCTCTAACAGTTTGAGGGACTATGACTTGGCCCTCTGTTTAAAAAGTTTGAGGACCCCTGTTCTAAGTTACCGTTCGGCTTGTGATTTTGTGATACGAAATCCAACATATAGAACTTGTTTGCTGTGACATACTGTATTTTTGTGTCAGTATAATAATAATTACAACAACAATTTAAAAAGGCCACCTTACTTGGATCTGCACTCATTCAAAAATACATCACACAGTCCTAAATGCTTGGGAAGTGTTTGACTTGTGATTTTGTGATACAAAATCCAGCATATATCTCTTGTTTGCTGTGTTATATTGTGTTTTTGTGTCCGTAAAATAATAATGTATTGTTGAAGGCTTTCATGGCTGGAGTCACTGGGTTGTTGTAGGTTTTTGGGGTTGTATGGCATCTCCAGGTTGCCTCTGAGGATGCCTGCCATAGATGTAGGCAAAATGTTAGAAGAGAATGCTTTCTAGATCATGGCCATAAAGCCCAAAAAACCTACAACAACCCGATGATGATGATGATGATGATGATATTGACAAAACAACCAACTAAATGAATATATAAATAAGAATAAAATTGGGGGTGTTGATTCCTGCATTTCAAAAAGCAGGGAATCTGACAGGCCAACATCTGGAGCCCCTCTTTGCCCTGAGGAAGTTGGGCTCAGTTAAAGACTCTTTGGCTGGCATTCAGCAAGTTAGGGCAATGACCAGATAGCCCCTTTTTGGCACCATGCTCCTCCTCAACAGAAGGAAGGATATAGCTGTACGAACTGCTCGCTTAACAATGGCCTGTGGTATCCCCCGGGAATGGCCTGCAAATAGATTTCATCTTGCTTTCTCTTGTACTTTTCAGAGCTTCCTGTTTTCTCACGGCCCTTTTGGACAGTTTACAGTCTTTCTCCCTCTCCCTACATCTCTCTTGCTTTCAGGAAAGGAACACCCTTCTTATTAAACCTTCCCTAGATTTTTCCCCCTTGAAGAAGAATACAAGGGAAGGACAGCACAGCAGTGGCCTTTCTCCTGCACGGCAGGCTGCAGCTTTCTTCACCTTGTTTCTCAAAGCAAAAGAAAACACCAGCTTTCCTACCAAGCTAATCACAGCGGCACAGAGACCAACCATGCGTGGCCTCACCCCAAAGCAGAAGAAAACCTTTGGCACTACATTTCCTTGGCTTTTCCTTTCTGAAGACAGTGCTACCTGTTGCCTTTCATGTTAGCCCATCCAGATGTTTGATATTGTTATTTCTTCTTTCTTTCTTTCTTTCTTTCTTTCTTTCTTTCTTTCTTTCTTTCTTTCTCCTCCTCCTTCAAAAGGGTAGATATTTGCTTAGAGACACAATCTTTTTCTAATGCAAAAGTCTAGCAAAAAGTTTATTTTATGTAATTAAAAAACAATTTATCATTGATTTTTGTTAATATGGACCTTTGGCAAAAAAGAGTTTACACTTAACTGATATCTCTTGATGGATTGGGATCTTTCTTTTACAAAAAACTGTACTTGTTTGTTGTTTTCTCAACATTGACTCCAGCGCAGTTCAATTCAAGTCCGACCTAAATGCACTGAGCAACAATAATATACTATGGGTTTTAGCTATGGATCATTAAATAAACTGAATTGTTTTACATTAACAACATTTGCCTTTTTTGTTAAAAAAATGATTTTGACAGATATTATCTGCTGATAAATCTGTAGTCCATCTAATACCCTTCGAAAGCTCTCTAAGGGTGCATCTACACTGTAGAATTAATTTAGTTTGACACCACTAACTGCCACGGCTCATTGCTATGGAATAATGGGATTTATAGTTTGGTGACGCACTAGTACCATTTGGCAGAGAAGGAAAAAGCCCTTGTGAAACTACAACTCTCATGATTTCATAACATTGAGCTATGGCACTGAAAGTGGTATCAAAACTTCATTAGTTAAATTGATAGTGCAGATGCAACCTAAGTGAGTGGCAGTCTTTTGGTAATGACCTAATAGGAACCCTCAAATGACATTGTCTTAAGGCCTCATCACACTAGAGAAAAAATCCACTTAAAATCCAGTTTCTGCCTCTTGCAGAATTCTGAGTTTTGTAGTTTAGGGAGGAGGCTTTAACAGCATCACTAAACTACAAACCCCAGAATTCTGTAAGAGGATTATAAGTAGATTTTTTTCTCTAATATGATGAAGTCATTAAACTCAGTATTGGTACCACTATAACCTAGTTTAAAGATTATAGAAATTTAACTGATTTGAATTTTTAGTCATAAACAGAATAGAGGTGCCCAAAAAGTTCCATATAATTTCATTTCAATGGGTCCATTATAGGGACCTATCATGAGACAAATTATGAGGCAACATGACATTGGAAGAGGTGATAAAGCTTGATAAAATGGAAAGCAATAGGAAAAGAGGAAAATTGTATTACAGATGGGTTGATCCAATTAAGGAAACCATGATCCTGAGTTTGCAAGATCTGAGCAAGATTGTTGATGATCAAGACTCATGGGAATTAATACAGTCTCCATAAATTGAAGCTTACTGGATAGTAAATAACAACAACTAACCTTAGTGAAACTAAACTTGGATTCTAGTCCTTGCTGTCTATCACTTGGTAAGTGGTGTTTATGCATGAGGATAATATAGGCTGTGTCATCATAAGAAAGCTTACTAACAAACATAAGAAGCTCCTTGCCACATCTTGAGCGTTTTATCTTTCAACAGTGGAGCGAATCCTCTCAACTGACTTTACTACCTTTAATCATTGCAGAACTGCAATTATTTCAACCAATTCAAAAGATTTTAATTTTTTTCAATTGGCTGGTTGAGTTCATCATATTCACTGCTTCCTTTGTTTTAATATATTGATACATTTCTGTATTTTTGTTTTGTTTTACATTGACTTTTTATGGTCTTGGCAATAGTGGCCATGGGATTACGATGAAGTCATGCAACTAAAATAATAGAGCTCTGATCTTGGAAGAGGAATATGGGTCCCTTTCACATTGAGCAGTTATGACAGCATGATTCCACTTGGACTATCTTTGAGTGCTTTGATTATCTTGCCCATCATATCTGCATCTTCTTGAAGGGGACCATGTAAAATGTTTTAAGGAATCAATAAATCCATGAGTATTGACAAGGCAGGAGGGATTTTAGTTGCTGGCCACCAGAGCTTGGAAATACTAAGCTCCAAGTAAGAGCTGCATGTAATTTGTTGATAAGGGGGCTACGGTAATTGGGGGGGGGGGGGGGTTTAAAAATAAAATTTCAAAAGAAACATGATGAACAAGGGAAGTATTTAATTAGTATAATAAGTAAGTTTCTGGTTACTTTCCAATATCATTTTGAAAAGCCATAATGATATGAATTTTTCAAGTGTAATGCCCTTCTCTTATTAGTCCTAAGTACCACAAAGTTATAGAAAAGCAATGAGTGCAATGAGTAAAGTAAGTAGAATCTCGCTTATCCAACATAAACAGATCAGCAGGATGTTGGATAAGCAAAAATGTTGGATAACAAGGAGGGATTAAGGAAAAAGCCTATTAAACATCAAATTATGTTACGATTTTACAAATTAAACACCAAAACATCATGTTTTACAACAAATCATCAGAAAAAGCAGTTCAATACATAGTAACGTTCTGTAGTAATTACTGTATTTACCAATTTAGCACCAAAACATTGCAATGTATTGAAAGAACTGTGGATCTGGGAGGGAGGCAGACTGTGTTGGATAATACGGACTGTTGGATGAGCGAAGGTTGGATAAGTGAGACTCTACTGTAGTGACTTGCTTTCATTCTTGTAACAAGTAAGAGCAGTGGACTACTTCTGAAAGATTGCAGTGGGTAACTGAGCAAATTGTTTTAAAGATTACTTTTCCAAACAAAGCGAGAACTTCTGCCATGTGAAAACAGTGTGCTCAGGTAGAACCCATCCTTCTTCTTTCCTATGACATCCCAAATGTATCCCCACCTCAACAAAGGTACTTTTTGAAGATCAAGAGCAGTTTTAAGGCCCCAAGAGGGGAAATGTTTGAGAGGTTGTGAAAGAATGGCTTTGGGTGAGGCTGATTTGGGCCCAATCAAAGAGTAATGAAGAAAAGGAAGGGAAGAAAAGGAGGCGTCAGGAGGCCGAGAGAGGAAATGCACAACTGTTCTGTTCATTTGTTTTGTTTTCCTTCTGCATTCCAGACATTCCAAAGGCCACATCCTTAGGATGTGGGAATCCATCTGAACCAGTGCTGTACTTCATATTAAAGGCTTTCTGAGTTTCTAAAACTCCAGACTTAGCAACACATATTACTAGCATTACACTGCTACAAACCTAGATTCAACAACAAGTTGCCACAGTCAAATTCTGGTGAAAACATTTTGTTGTTGTGTTCTCATTTTTTTTGGGGGGGAATACATTAAGAAATGCCTCTTTAAGAAAATATATTGCACATAGATTTCCAAATCCAGTAATATCATGGATGAGTAACTGTCTTCCTATTTATTTATTTATTTGCTATATTTATATATCGCCCCTCTCAGCCCACAGGCGACTCTCTTCCTACCTGTTCCTTCCTACATCCTGTTACAAGAACAACATTTTATTATGGTCCAAAGACTCTTTTTCTCCGAAAGTGTACAAGGTGTACAAGGTGAATAAGGTTAAGAGCCACCAACTGATTTAAGGAGAATCAGAAATAATAAAGGACAAAACCATACTAGATGTCTTTTGTAAAACATATATTTTGGGGGGGGGGGGGGAATGCATTGCAATTTTCCAAATACCCCAACTAGTCTGGGGAAAGTTGCCTGAGAAACAAAAGTACAAAAAAGTATTTTTCTAGGTAAGTGAACTATCTATTTACCGTTCACAACTCTGGCCCCATCTATACTGCCATATAATGCAATTTGGAACTGCATTATACAGTCAGTGTAGATGGGGCCATTGATTGGCTGAGAAAGTCCAAAGCAATTTTATTTCTAAGACACCTTGGCCTCCCACAGTACAGGCCCTATATCCCAGGATATGATATGCTTTCAGCTTTAAACTGGATTATATGAGTCTGCACTGCCAGTTAATCTGGGATAAACAGAAACCTGGGATCAGATCCTGGGGTATAGGGCCTTTCTGGAAGGGCCCCAGGGCTCTGTGGACCATGTTTCGATTCTTCACTTGGCCATAAAAACTTATTGGGTGATCTTAGGCAGATCACATATCCTCAGGGTCGTCTTAGGGGTGTTATAGTTTGGAAATGACTTGAAGGCACACAACAACAATCTTACCATTTTGTGTACATCATTATTTGTATTTCTCAATCTTACAATCCTTTTGACCTGCTTGTAAAGACATTTTACATAGAATGGTGGGTATGCCAGACACTTGCTTGACTATACTGTCCATTTGGCTTAATCACATTAAAATCATACAATCATTTTCTAACGCTTCACTTTAAACCTCTGTAGTGATGTGGTTAGAGTGCTGGACATGTCTTTAGAAGATATGGATTCTAGTCTCCAGTGAGCCATGTAAACCATTTGATGATCTTGGGCCAGTCACTCTATTGTAGCCTAAACTACCTAACAGGAAAAAGTGGGGAGGAAGAAGCCCATGTGCATGAGGGAAAATGGGATGAAAATATAACTAATAAAGAAAAAAAATCATTAAATTTATTCATTCCCAGGAGCCAAGCTTTGAAGAAGGGATGGAACTGGGCTTCTGATGGCCTTAAAAACAAGAGAAAGTTTTCGGATTTCTTTCAAAACTCAGTGCTGAATGTTAGGTTGCTAAAATATTGAGAAGTTGTTTTAGCTGCAGAAGCCTGCTGCCTCAAGAAAGCAAAATGATCTTCTTTGGAAAGTGTATCTGCAGAATAAATCACTGTGATTGTCATTGCTCTTTTGACAGCTGTGCGGAAAAGAATTTAATCGGATGCACAATTTAATGGGGCACATGCACTTGCATTCAGACAGCAAGCCATTCAAATGCCTCTACTGTCCCAGCAAATTCACCTTGAAGGGGAACCTCACAAGACACATGAAAGTCAAGCATGGAGTCATGGAAAGAGGATTTCGTGCTCAAGGTAAATTACTGTCAACATAGCTGATTTACTGTAGATTTAATAACATCAAGTATAACATCTGAAAGGCAGTTTGTGTATCATAATCATCAGGCAAAGTGAGGCAGCTATCTCAGGCACCAGGTTGGGATATCGGGGGGGGGGGTGGGGGGAAGGAAAGGGTGGGAATAATAGAAAATTGGGAGTTACTAACTTCCATTTTGTTTCATTTCATTATTGTACCACCAGGGAACGAGTAGGATTTTCTTCCTCAAGTGCCAAAAACACATGGCTAGATTTGAGTAGGGTATATCTACACTTTGGCCACATCATGAGGAGACAGCAAAGCCTAGAGAAGACAATTATGCTGGGGAAAGTGGAAGGTAAAAGGAAGAGGGGCCGACCAAGGGCAAGATGGATGGATGGCATCCTTGAAGTGACTGGACTGACCTTGAAGGAGCTGGGGGTGGTGACGGCCGACAGGGAGCTCTGGGGTGGGCTGGTCCATGAGGTCACGAAGAGTCGGAGATGACTGAACGAATGAACAACAACAACATATCTACACTGTAGATTTAAGGTAGTTTGACTCTACTTTAATTGCCATGGATCCATGTTATGTAGTTTGGTCAGGCACCAACTATTCCACAACTTCATAGCATTGAGCTATAGTAATTAAAGTGAAGTCAAAGTGTGTTAATTCTACAGTTTTAGATACACCCTAAATCCCTGTCTACATTGCCATAAAATCCATTTTCCGAACCCAGATTATCTGCTTTGAACTGGATTCTATGGCAGTGTAGATTCGTATAATCCAGTTCAAAATGGATAATCTGGATTATATGCCAGTGTCGATCCACCCACAATCTGAACTTCAAAGGGGCTACTGAAAGGGCTGAGATTTATCTGCAAAACAGGACAACTCCTTTAAAGTTCAGATTAAAACCCAGAGCACATCTACACTCTGCTCATATGGGGTCATCAACAACACATGGGGCCAAGGTAATATAAGATATCCTATTTTCTCCTGATAAAGAGTTGGTAGCTGTAAGATAAAGAGTATAAGGTTTACAATCAAGCATTGGCGTTGTGCTTACAGTGATCCTGAACCAATTGTTTTAGATACAAGTTTGTCATGTGCAGTGACTTCTAATGATACTTGGTAGCTCTTTAAAAATCAAGATAACATCTGCAGGCAAGAACATATTTTTTCCATTTTGGAATTGATAAGAAAATACTTACTCTGAATTATATTACAACCAAATGTATAACACTGCACAATTGCCTTTCATATATACATACGCACACATATAGACTTTACAAATAATTTTTCAAGGCAGACTGAAACAAGACTGGAATTAAGGCTGTTTTCACCATACTTGGGAAGCGTAGTTAACCACCAGGAGACTTCTTTACCTTCCTCCATTAATAGAAAAAAGTAGGTAGAAAATGGCTAAAATATTCTGCCTGAAATTGCAAAATGGGCTGTTATTGGGTTGTTGTAGGTTTTTCAGGCTGTATAGCCATGTTCTAGAAGCATTATCTCCTGACGTTTTGCCTGCATCTATGGCAGGCATCCTCAGAGGTTCCTATTGGAAACTAGGAAATTTGGGTTTATATATCTGTGGAATGTCCAGGGTGGAAGGAAGAACTCTTGTCTGTTGGAGCTAATTGAATGTTTCAGTTGGCCACCTTGATTAGCATTTGATGTCCTGGCAGTTTTTAGGTGTGGCTCGTTCCAGCCTGAGGGAATCCTTTGTTGAGAGCTGATTAGTTGTTCCTAATTATTTCTTGTCTGGAGTTCCTCTGTGTTTGGGTTTTTTTCTTTATTTACTGTTATAATTTTAAAGTTTTTTTAAAATACTGGTAGTCAGATTTTGTTCATTTTCATGGTTTCTTCCTTTCTGTTGAAGTTGTCCACATGCTTGTGGATTTCAATGGCTTTCCTGTATTGCCTGACATGGTACTTGTTAGAGTAGTCCAGCATTTCTGTGTTCTCAAATAATATGCTATGACCAGGTTGGTTCATCAAGTGATCTACTACTGTAGACTCCTGCAGAAGTGAAGAGATCCCTCTTGTCCTTTGCTGAATGTAGCATTTGTTGGATTTTCTTAGTGGGTCTATAGATAGTTCGTAGGTTGTGCTTCCTCACCAGCTTCCCTCTGCGGCTGTTACTGTTTCTGTTAAGAAATTAATCTCTCCCTGTGCGTATTTCTCACTGTCTTTTTAAAATACTTACAGGACTTGGAAAGGATCAAATGAGAGTATCACAAATGGATGTGTCAAGAGACCTGGAACAGGAAGAACCCTTTGACCTTTCTCAAAAAAACCAAGAGAAGGGGCTGTCAATTCACTCGGATGGTGAAAGTGCGAAGGGGAGCTCATGCCATGAGGAAGAGGAAGACAACTGCTACGAGCCAGGACGATACAGCCCTGGCATGTACTACGGCAACGATCCGTATTTAATGCAAGATCTTCCTAGTCAATCACAATATCACACGAAAGACTTCAGAGAGCCCTACAACAATGGGGAAGAGAAGGGACTGAATGGGGAACATGAGGAGAAGAAAGAAAGCAGAAGGAAAGAAAGCCAGGCAGAGAGAGACTTTATGGATGACAGTGAGGAACGCCTGAGCTTCAGCCACTTTGAAAATGACAGACTTACACAATCTCTTTCTGACTACTTATATTTTCGACACAGAAATAAGAGTTTAAAGGAACTACTGGAAAGGAAAATGGAAAAGCAAAATGTTTTTCTCGGTATCTAAATGAACACATGTTAACTTACTCTTGGAAAACAGATGTTAAGCAATAGTTTTCATTAGCATGAGCTGGAATTCACCAGGACTGGCAAACGATAAGAAGAGAACAAGCATAAATTAGTAGATACTATTTAAGATAATTTTCACTTATCATTCAGCTGTTAATTTTCTTTGTAATATTATTTGTAATAATATCATAGATATTAACTCAGTCTATAAGCCTGTTCCTGTATTTCTACCATTCTGACCTTGCCTATGAATGCAGCTGGATGATATGGAAGATTGGTAAGGTGACAACTTGAGAAGAGAATGGTTCCTTCCTTAGTATGGCACCAGGGAAATAGAAGGTTAAATGTTTCCTCCATGCCTGCCTCAGTCTGCATATTACATAATTCTCTCTCCATGTTCGACATCCCTTCATGCTATATGCATTTTAACATCTGTGCATTCAATGCAAGGACATATTTAATTATTCTAACCTTGTTCCTCTCCTAACATTAGGTCAGAGCATGTGTGTTCTATAGCTATGAAGTCCTCTGAGTAAATGATCAGTTTCATCATACAATCTGATAGGATTAGGGTGTGAACCTACCATAACATGATTAACTAAAACACTGGTTCCCAACCTTCCTAATGCCGCGATCCCTTCAAACAGTTCCTCATGTTGTGGTGACCCCCAACAATAAAATTATTTTCGTTGCTACTTCATAACTGTAATTTTGCTACTGTTATGAATTGTACTGTAAATATCTGATATGCAGGATGTAGTTTCATTCACTGGACCATATTTGGCACAAATACCCGATATGCCCAATTTGAATACTGTTGGAGTCGGGTGGGGGGGACGGGACTGATTTTGTCATTGGGAGTTGTAATTGCTGAGATTTATAGTTAACCTACAATCAAAGAGTATTCTTAATTCCAACAATGACACAATTGAAACAAACATGGCACACAGAACTCCAGTGATCAACAGAAAATACTCAATGGGTTTGGTGGGCTTTCACCTTGAGTTTTGGAGTTGTAAGTTCATCTACGTTCAGAGACCACTGTGAATTCAAATAATGATGGATCTGGACCAAACTTGATATGAATAATCAATATGACCAAATGTGAACACTGGTGGAGTTTGGGGAAAATAGACCTTGAGATCTGGGAGTTGTAATTGCTTCAATTTATAGTTCACCTACAATAAAAGAGACCCTTGAACCCCACCAACAATAGAATTGGGCCAAACATTCCACACATACCAACATGACCAACAAAAAATACAGTGTTTTCTGATGGGTCTATGGCAATCACTCTGACACCCCTTTGTGACACCCCCCCCAGGGGGTCCCGACCCCCAGGTTGAGAAACACTGAACTGAAGCATCTACCTTACATGTAGGCCTGCTGAATAAACTTGAACCATCTAACACCAGTATTCTCACAAAATGGCAGCATTCAGAATTGTTTAAGAGCAACTAAGATTTTCTGGGCCTTGACAATGATAAGTCTGTAATGTTAGAAATGCAACTGTGCAGTTCAGAATCAAAATACCAGATGCAGCAGAACAGATCAGACAAGTGGAAAATGCAAAGGAAATATTGATCACAGCTCATGTTGAAAGGATGTGGCTAGGACAACAAAGGGTATCAGTAACATGATGATCAATTAACAAATGAGTTTGGTCTTATAACAGCTGACTCAGGAGAGCTCAGATGCATTTGGAAGCCTCCTGAGTCCAGGATAAACTGGTGCACAATATAAAGGCTGAACTCTGATTTATTGTGACATATCAAGCCACTTTCTCCTAAGGTGATCTTAGAATGCCCATAGATTATAAATTTACTTTTACATTTAGTGTGAAAAAAGATCAAACCACAAATAATTAAACGAATTTTACATGGCTTTGATGCTTTCCTCTTTTAAAACAAGTCATTTTCACATATTTTATCTAAATTATTTATCTCCAAGTTGATTTTCTGAAGCTGATCTTCTGTTAAAACTTTCATATTGGTTCTCCGTCTTATTGTTTTCATGGTTTTTGCATTTGGTTGTAGATGGCACACATCTAAAAAGGTTCTCTTTCAAATGCAATATTTATAACACCAAAGAGAGCATTGAATAATATTTTTTGTGGGGGAAATAAGTAACAGCATTAAGCATTTGTATTATTGTATCTGTATATTGGGATATGTGGGTGAGTGTGCTGTAGACAAGGGAAATCTTAGGAAAGTTTCAGCATAGTTTTTGATAGCCAGTAGCTCAGCAGAAAGTCACATTTAAAATATTATTTTATTAATTTAAAACAAATAAATAATATTATACCAAACACATTGTTGAACATTTTTGTCAGCAATCTCAGCCCCAGACATCTCTGTTCCTTTAAGTCAACAATTTCAATGTGAATTTCACATTGCAGTTGTTGCAATGTAGAGCGGAAAATGATGAACCACTCTCACAACCACCATGTCAGATTACACAGAGAAGCCACTGAAATCCACAAGCATGTGGACAATTTCAACAGAAAGGAGGAAACAATGAAAATGAACAAAATCTGGTTATTTTTGTTCTGGGTATATTTACTGATAATTACACAGTATTCAGTACAAACATCCTAACAAGCATCTCCAGGAAAAAGGTATACCTTCTTAAAGGGATACTTACTTGGCTTGAGAAAAGGAAATGGAGGCCTGATAATTTATATGAGCTTGGAAAAACTCATTGTTTGGACTTTAGTTGCTGCAATCCATCAGCTACGATGCCCAGTGGAAATGCTGGCTGCAGATTCTGATAGTTGTCATGCAAAAATTAATTAGGAACATGGTGATGGTGACATTGCAACAACTGCTCATGGGTCAGATCCTAGGAAAAGCAGTTCTTTATCACTGAAAGCGAGGAATGCTCCACTTATCCCAAGCAAAGTGATTACTGTGATGTCCTGAATATATCTATTTCTTCTCCTACTGTTCCTAAAGATGGACAACAACAGACACAGAAAATAGCTTCATCCAACAATTATCCAACATGAGGAAGACAGGCTTAATATTCATAACAGATGCCTATCTATTTCACTGTTTGAGATGAAAAAGAAGACGGATACCTTCCCCTTCTGTGTGTCCAAGCCAACTAGAACAACAACAGCATGATCTTTTTTCATCATTGATAATGGAACACTGTCCTCCACAGCTACTGAAGACACCAAGGCAGCATAATAATAATAATAATAATAATAATAATAATAATAATAATAATAATATTTTATATTCTGTTCTACCTCCCCAAGGAATTTCCTTCCAAATTATGTTAATCCTAAATCAACTTGGAACACCAGAACTAGAAATCCAATATCTTTATAGAGTTGTGAATTAGAATGGCTTGATATGAACAGTGACATGAACACATGTAAAAGAGCACATGGCAACAACAGAATAGATTTGAGGCAAAGGTTAGCAATTGTAGTTCTGTGTACAGTTCATTTCAGGGAGCCGCATAAAGGGGGAAATAATTTGATTGTATGTTTTATTGGCACTTTAAAAGCATTCAGCATGTGGAGGAAGCTCTGTGTCTTTGATAGCTGGGAGTGACCAGCACAGTGCTGTGTTGCTCAGTATCAGTAGCTCTCGGCATTTCCTCTTTGCTAGCTTCAACAATAATTTTAATAGAAAAAAAACACACTTGAACAACATTTTCATAATTCACGTATTTCATGGTTTCAGTTAAATTTGAATGAGGTTCCTTTGGGATCCTGGAGTTGGTCTGGTAAGACGTACGGTCGCTCAAAGCCTAATCCACTGCTTAAGCAGACTTTCATTTGTACACACTTTGGACAGGATCTTATTAGTGATGTATACAGATGTAACCAGAGGCTATGCATGCGCCTATCCTTTTTTGGATATTGTGGAAGGAGATACCTTCTTCCACAGCATCTACTCCCTTCCTCCAAGAAGCTTCCAAGCCCCTGAAATATGCTGTCTTGGGCATTTACGGCCTGCAGGGAGGTAGAGGCACCACGTAGCACCCCAGGCATGTAGCCGGGGGGGGGGGGGGCGGGGGGCTTCAGCCCCCCCCCCCCGAAATTCTCACAGTGGTTCGCGAAAAGGCCTTACTGGTGCATTATTTAAACTGTTATGTTTATTCATATCATTTATTTCTCAATATATCCCATATGCATGGGAGTATTGGGGTAATGATACAAAGGTTTGCTAGGTTAGACCCTCTTTCACTCGGACTCAGCCCCCCCCCCCAACTCAGCCCCCCCCCCTGAAATTTTTTTAGCCCCCCCCCCCCCCCGAAACGAAATCCTGGCTACGGGCCTGTAGCACCCAATTCATTTCTGCAACAAGGAGAAAGAAGTAGCATCTCAAGCTGGATATCCTCCTGGAAAAGCTGGTAGATGATCTCAGATCTCTTTTTCCAGTTGAGTTCTGCCTAGTTTCCTGACGTCCTGGTCCAGCCCTCAAATCACATTGCTACACTGGCCTCCCTTGGTTATGTAGCTATGAGGAACGTCATAATGAGCACATGCACCTCAAAATGGATCACTATGCCACTGCGTGTACATGAGGATTGGACATCTGGATGTGCAGAGAGAGGCCAGGTCATTGACCTTGTTCTGTTTAGTTTCTCACACTGTGGTATAGAATCATAGAATCATAGAATCATAGAATCAAAGAGTTGGAAGAGACCTCATGGGCCATCCAGTCCAACCCCCTGCCAAGAAGCAGGAATATTGCATTCAAATCACCCCTGACAGATGGCCATCCAGCCTCTGTTTAAAAGCTTCCAAAGAAGGAGCCTCCACCAGACTCCGGGGCAGAGAGTTCCACTGCTGAACGGCTCTCACAGTCAGGAAGTTCTTCCTCATGTTCAGATGGAATCTCCTCTCTTGTAGTTTGAAGCCATTGTTCCACGTCCTAGTCTCCAGGTATGGTTATAGCACAATACTTTGGAAGGTCTCCACATAAGGACTAAATTGGATCATGTATCGGTTGTCATTTAAGTCAAATTTAGGACTTTGAGACCTCCAAGAATCCTATCGAATAGCACAGATATTTAGATATAGTGAAAACACAAATGTTGTTTACTGCTGTAACACTGATTCTAAAGGTTACTAAAGTATGTAATGGTCTGGAACGGCTGTTCCAGGAGCTCCAAATTTGTGTTTTGCACTGAGTGTTTGTTCATAGTCCTAAGTTGCAGGGACTTTGCAGATAGGTGGCTTCCTTTGGCTGCATTCATAGGGCAAGCCACCTGCCAATTATAGTTAGGATCCCTGGTCCCACCCCTCTCTGGGTTTTTTGGAGGGAAGGGGCCATTTTTCAGTTAGTCTCAGCAAAGGAAGTCAATGCAGAGGATGTATACAGATGTCCTCCTGTACAAAGGCTTCGTCCCTTAAGACTTCCCGGGGGAGAACAGTCTTAAGAGCCTCTAAAGATTCCCAAAGGTTCCGGGGAAACAGCCTTACACCGGGATTGTGGCGCAGCTGGCTGAGTGTCAGCTGCATTAAGATCATTCTGACCAAAAGGTCATGAGTTCGAAGCCAGCCCGGGCTGGAGTGGGTGTCCAGCCATTGTGTAGCCCGTTGTCGACCTTTGCAACCCGAAAGACAGTTGCATCTGTCAAGTAGAAAAATAAGGTACCACCTTGTGTGGGAGGCTAAATTTAACTAATTTATGAGGCCATAAAGAAAAAAGACTCCGGGGAATGTGGAATGCGGAAGAACTTCATCGGTGTCGTTGATGGACGATGAAAAGCAGCAGCTCCCCTGGCGGCCAGAAAAAAAAGTTAAATAGCCTTGGTGTATTTGTCTGTTAAATGTTGTTTGTCAAACTGGCATTGAATGTTTGCCATATATGTGTTTACTGTAATCCGCCCTGAGTCCCCTGCGGGGTGAGAAGGGCGGAATATAAGAACTGTAAATAAATAAATAAATAAATTACAGCCCTGAGGAATTCCGGAGGGAATAAGAACTCTAATCGTCAAGATCTCCAGCTAAGTGACTACAGGCCTGCTGGTACGTCTGCTCGGTTCTGAGACGCAGTTCAGCTGGTAGTGGATTCAAATCAGTCAGGTTTAGCTTCACAGTAGCCTGGGAGGAGCTAGAAAGGGGAATTTTCCTTTGAACAAATTTATTGAAGATAGTGCCTGTTCCCTGTGGACAAGTTTGAGAGAACTGGCTTTTTGCCCAGAAAGCTTTACAATTCCTATTTGTTCATCAATAAAAGACTGTTATGTTTAAACTCAAGCCTCCTAAAGACTGTTTAATGAGGGAAATTTCTCCAAAGGCTTCTTTTCGGGCCCCCTGGCTTCCTGCTGGATTCAAGCCATACATCCTCTCTTAAAGGCACTTAATTTCAGGTCCAGTGGCGACAGAACATGTAAACACCAATTTAATGCAACTAAACCATCAAAATGACATAAATCACTTAATAGTAGCTAGCAAAGTTAAAGCATCAAGATGACATAAATCACTTAATAGTAGCTAGCAAATACTCCCTCCCGTGGGAGGTTTCTAGTCCAATCAAAGCTTCATCATTTTTTCCTCTGATGTATCTTGAGTTCAACCAGTAAATATTCAACTAAAATGTTCTTGAAGAAGCAAAACAAAGATGACAAGGGTCCCCAGGTTGTTTTAGTACCATTTAGAATCAGTGTTTACAGCAATAAACAACATTTGTTTTTTCTCCAAGAACCCTAATCATCAATTTTTCTGCTCAGGTCTTGCAAACTCCGGGATGTGGCTTCTTGGATTGACTCAAACCATCATTTTACTGCCTTCTACTTTACCATGGAGTCACACTTTGTCAAGATACATTCCAAGTATAACAGCTTCAGTGTACCTAGCTTTACTTCTAGTGAGACTTCAGGTTTTCTTTGGCTCTAAAACCCATTCATCTACCCTTGT